TTTTTTTTTGGCTGGTTTCGTAAGGAACTCTCAAGTATTTTGGCACTAGCCTCCTAGCGGTAGTATTGAAAATAGGTCCGGTCTAATAAGATTTTGTTTAGATAGATTTGATTTGTTTTAAAAAAATTAGTATAACTTATTAATTATTAATAGTTTTATTTTGGGGAGTATGGTATTTTGATTTTTTAAGGACTTATTTGGATTCGTTTAAGCTCTTACTTATCTTATATATATATATATATATATATATAGATAGATAGATAGAAATAATTTTTAAATTTTTTAAAAATTTACAGATTTAATCTATGCATTAAGAACTTTAAATTAAACGATTGGATCGTTAAAAATTGATGTAAAACATGAGTTATTAAATATAATATATTTAGGTAGACTTATTCCTATATATATATATATTACAGTTTTTATATAAATTTCACTTATTTCTAAATAGGCTAATCAGTTAATAAATTAACGAGAAAAAATTTATATAAAGATACTATAAACTATAAATATTAAAATCGCTATTATGGAAAAAGTTTGAGAGCAGGCTGAAATTTATAAGATTCAAGTCTTACTTTTCTCTCTCTATATATATATATATATTATACATTATAACAAAATTAATATAATAATTATATTAATAAAAACAGTTATTTATATTTACTTAAATAAATTGTTGAACTATACTTAATAGTGTGTTTGGATGAGGAAATTTACAAATTCAAGGAATTAACCACGTACAAAGGCCCAACTATTTGGGTGCAATTGGGTCGGGGCAACACCCAAGGCGTGAAGTACCCCCTTTTCACAGTCAGTAAGGGGCCATCTCACCTAATTTTAGAAATGAGGGTCGTATAACAAAACGTAAACTTTTCTGTTGAGGGTGAACTAATACACACCGGTTCTTTGTCAACACAAGGTTCACATATAACTACGTCGTTCCCATCACGACAAACCACATGGTCTCTACAAAAGCTATCCATAGCCTCCCAAGAATTTATCATAGACTCACATTTTAATGCATCATCTTTAACCCATTTATATAACTCCCCATAACTCATGACAGCCATGGCAAATATAAGCTTAGACTAACCTACAACCCAAAGGTTTGCAAGAAAACCACTACAATAGCAGAATAAATACGCGTACCTAAGGGTCTCTCACACCACTTCACCCACTAAAAACAGGGACAACCACCGTCGACCGTCGTAGCTCCAGAAAGGAGAAGAAAGAGACCGCCGGAGAAGGAGACTCGCGAAGGGGGAAAAGGAAATAACTCGAAAAAATGAGAGGCCGCCTCTATTTATAGAGGTGAAGGGCCGCGTGTGAGGGGGGAAAACCCAAAAGCCACAACGCGCGTGGGGCGTTGTAACCCCTAGGCCAAGGGGGCCCCACCTCATTAACCCTGGTAGCAAATG